CATTTTTACAAAAGCACTTCCAAGGGTTACACATGAAAGACATGTACAAAATATGCTTTATGTTTTTGTTCCACAATGATGAACCGCAGGGGAAATGTTGAATGGTTTCTTTAAACGTAAAGGTTCATCATTGTTCCACCTGATGTGTATGTCTTTAAGGGGCCAGAGCAAAATAAGGAGACCCAGCTTTACAGCTGTGAAACATAGCAGGTGCTGCTGAGTTGTATTGATTAAGCTGTGTCAGCAATTGGGTGTAGTATATAAGGAGCAGCACCTAGCTCTCCTATTACCCTGGGGGATGGGTTGGTGGTTGGGTCTGGTTTGTTGTCCCTTTTTAATGCATGGTCTCCCCAGCAAGCTCTCTGCAGCGCTACTAAACTGCAAATAGCCAACATTCTTTTCAGTCTATTTGCCAATATTTCTGTAAAGATCTTATAATCGTTATTTAACAGTGAAATCGGCCTGTAGTTCTTAATAGTAAGCCTATCAGTTTCTTGCTTGGGAATTAGAGTTATATATGCTTTCTTCCATGTATTTGGAATATTCCCTCCTTGTAGAATGTTATTCATTACTTCACAAAGTACAGGAGTTAGTTGTTCATTAAGAGTTTTATAATATTTGAACAACTAACTCCTGTAACTTCCTAGGGATTATCTAAAGTTCTCCCTTCTTCCACTATTTTATAAATTAGTTTTTCCTTTTGTCTTTTTCAGTTGCCAGGCTAGCATCTTTCTGGGTTTATTTGCAAATTCAAATGACCTTTGTTTCATCCATTTTATATTATCCTTGATTTCACTATTGAATATTGCTGAAGCCTGAGTTTGTAGTATTTTTAGTTTTTGGTTTATTAATTCATTTTTTGGTTGTTTCGTTAATAATTTTTCATTTATTCCTATTTCTTTCCGTATTCTAGTTTTTGCTCTCTGTTTCTTTCCCTTATTGCACTTTGTTGTATATAAAAGCCTCTTATGAAAGCTTTACTTGCATCCCATATTGTTCTGATGTCTGTATCCTGTTCTTTATTTAATTCAAAAAATTCTTTCATTAATTCTTGCGCTTTTTTCACAATCTTTTCATCGTTTAATATTCTTTCATTAAGTCTCCATCTTTTATTAGTTTTCTTATATCCCTTTAATTCTAATTTTTTTACTTCCAAGAAATGTGTATACTGTCTTTCTCCTGGGTTTTTATATCTCCATGCGTCAATCAAATTTAGCTTTTCTACCATCTGAAAGAAGGTGTCTGGGAGTCTACCTTTTTTTATTTTCTTTCTCTCTCTGTCCTACCTAATTCTATTGACGTAACGCCATTTAGGTCTCCCATCAAAATAATTTCCTCTTCTATAAATTCCAGTAAATTAGCTTCTACTTTTCTGAAAAATTCTGTTTTGTTACCATTTGGTGCGTAAACTCCTACTATAATTAAATGTTCTTTACCTTTTGTTATTTTTACCCCTAATAATCTACCCTCATCATCCTTAAAGATTTTTTGTGCGTCCAGTTTAGGGTTTACATAGATCACAATTCCCCTTTTCTTTTTTACATCTGAGGATATAAATTCTTGACCCTATCTCTTGTTTACTAAAACCCTTCTATGATTTCTAGTCACATGGGTCTCCTGCAAGCATATGATATCCCATTGTCCTTTCCTCAATACATATTCTATTCTATTTCTCTTCCTCTTATCATTTAAACCGTTAACATTCCAAGATATAATTTTTAAATTCATTAATCTTTATTTGTTATCTACAATGGTTTCATTGAGTAAAAAAGAAAAGAAAACTCAGAAGTTTGTGGATTTTGATATTATGTTTTTTCCAGTCTCTCCCCACCCCCTTAATACCCGCTTGTCTCTCTATACTTCTTGTGGTGTCTGCGTTGTTTCTTCTCGCTCCCATGTTGAATCTTCAGTTAGTTCTTTTTTGTACTTCCTCCAGAATTTCCCCAACTCATCCACTGATCTAAACGTTTTTCTTCTGTCCTTGTATGTAAAGGTGATACCCTCAGGAAATTCCCACCGGAATCTAATCGAATTCTTCTTGAGTGCTTCTGTTACTGTCTTGTTATTCTGCTTTTTTCTCAAAATTCTTTTTGGGATTTCCTTAAATATTTTGATAGGTCTGTCATCTATTATTAGCCTCACTTGGCCCTTTTGTTGTAATATTTTGTCCTTTAGAAGTCTTGAATTAAAAAAAAATAAGCAATCTCCTGGCCCTTTATAAGTGTCCGATCTTTCTGATTTAATCCTGAAAATTTTATTGATATCCATTAGCATCTCTTCTACTTCTACTCCCAACAAGTTTGCAATCTCCTGTGATAATTTCTCTTGAATTTGCTCATCATGAGTTTGTGGGACACCTCGGACGTGGAGAACCATCTCCTTCTGACACATCTCCATCAACGATATGTCATCGAGTATCTCTTCATGGGCTCTCTTTAAGTTGTTTATTTCTTCCTTCGTTGAATCTTGTGATTTTTTTAATGTCCTTATTTTCATTTTGCAATTTCTTTGCCATTTCCTCTTGTTTGGTGGTTTTACTCTTGAGTTCTTGTACAGATTTATCCAGTTCTTTATTTTTTAAGTGAGAGGTCACTTATTTGTGTTGTTAAGTCTATTATTAACTTTGAGTTTTGTTGGATGTTGCCAGCTAATATGTCCAGCTTATCATTCAAGCTCTTTCCATCCCCATTATAAGGTCTTTTATGTCAGCATTGGGGTCCGTTTCAGCTGTTGATTGTCTTCTCAGTTGTAGTCCTGACCCAGATGTCAGTATAGTTTGGTATTTTTTAGAACCCATATTCGTCTTCTTCCTTTTGGTTCTGATCTAAATGTCTTTACTTCAGTCAAAGAATATTATATTTTTAAACTTTGAAAATGTTCTTTTTATACTCTATATTTCCATCCTTTTATTCCATCTGTTGGGATTGAAAGTCAGTTAAGATTCCGGTGGTTTTTCACTATGTCGTTACCAGTTCATCTCAAATATATAATTTTTTTAATCAGAGTTTTTATATAAATTTAGTTGAATATTTTATTTTATTTTATTTATTTTGGTAATTGTCAAAGAAAAATTCCTTCGCAGTACTTAAAGTCCGTCTTAAGAACTTATGTTCTAGAAGCTGAGCTTGCTATTTCAGATATCCTTTCGTGTGTAGCTAGTTTTCTTTATGGTTGTATTTCAAACCTGTGTCTTTGCAGAGTTTTTTAAATTGTGGGAATAATTTTTCCCGCCACTAGACGGCGCGATTTTCCAATTTACTTGTGAGGTGGTCCTTCTTGTTTTGTTCCTCTAACCTCTCTTTGTTGCAGTGACTGTTTCCACCACTATTCTTCTTCAGTCTTTTTTCCCTTCTGAGGGCAATGACTCACACTCCCCCCCCAGTGCCATTTTCGCCATCTGCTTTCTTCCCTATTATCTTTTTCCTCCTTCTTTCTCTTCTCAACCAACAGAAAGCAAAAATTATTATTAATGGAAAGCTTGGAGAAGAAATCAATATATTTAAAGGTACAAGACAAGGATGTCCCCTATCCCCAATGTTGTTTATAATAGTATTAGAGGTTCTATTAAAGAAAATAAGGCAGGACAACCAAATAAGAGGAATAGCAGTTGGTGAAAAAAGATATAAGTTAAGAGCCTTTGCAGATGAAGTTATGATCACAACAGAAAATCCCCTACAATGCACACCTAGACTATTGGAATGTATAAACAAATATGGCAGATTAGCAGGATTCAAATTAAACTATGGGAAAACCAAAATATTACTGAAAAATATGGAAGAAAAAGATAAAGTGACATTACAAGAAATTACAGGATTGGAAATTAAAAAGAAAATAAGGTCTCTTGGAATAAATTTAACAACAAATACTATGGATTTAAGTAATGAGAACTATGGGAAAACATGGAATGAAATAAAAAATGATCTGCAAGTATGGGTGAAATTAAATCTTTCCTTACTAGGGAAAATATCGGTAATAAAGTTGAACATACTACCAAGGATGATGTTTTTATTTCAAAGTATCCCAATATTAGGAGGAGATAAATGTTTTAATAATTGGAAAAGAGATTTGGCCAAATTCGTGTGGTCAGGGAAAAAACCAAGAATAAAATACAAAATAATGATAGACAAGAAGGAGAGAGGAGGATTTGGCCTCCCTGACATGGAGTTATATCATGATGCGGTGGGTCTGACCTGGCTAAAAGAATGGATTATATTAGATGACTCAGATGTATTGGATTTAGTGGGAGTAGAGATGAGATTTGGATGGCATGCCTATCTAATAGATGAGAAAGTCAAAGTACATAAAGGCTTCCTAGGGCATAAAGTCAGAAAGTCTATATATAAAATATGGGAGAAATATAAAAGACTCCTAGAACCGAAAACTCCTTGGTGGGCATCACCGGCAGAAATTGTCGCAGTGAAAAAATTAAATATGATAGAAAATTGGGCTACTTATAAAATTGTATTAAAGGAAGAAAACGGAGATTTGGAATTAAAGGATTATACACAAATTAAAGCTCATATTAGTGACTGGTTCCAATATATTCAAATTAAGTATAGATTGTGGTTCGAGGACCCGACCCCCGCGATGTGAAATGAATACACAAGGACACGTGATATAAGGTTAATGGGCATGGAAAGGCCACAACTTTATTGATTACAGCAGTGAAAAGGTATTGGCTTAGGCATTGGATCTCTAAAACACGTGGGTTTATTCACCAGTAGGTGGAGCCTGTTGATGCTAATCCAACTATAGGCTCCCCCCTGATGTCACCGAGGGTCGTGCCATGGCCTCCCGCCAAGCAGGCATTGGACAGAACACACGACCGCCAGATTCCTTTAACGGAATACCCAAAAATTGAAGGCATAGGCGATGGCCACACCTAGCCCTTCGACACCACAACACATTATTCCAATGCCTAACCGCCACCCGAGCCAATAAGGCTCGCCGCCAATACCCTCACGGCTGTAACTTCCTGGTTTTTTCAATGGCCATACAGCTCAGCGCACCACGCCAAAAATTTTCTTCAGGAAGGAGGACCAGAACACCGTTGTTCTGGGGCACAAGGCAGCAAACGCATCCAAGTCTCTTTTTATATTCCACAACAAGTCCGCATTCCTTCTGTAAGCAAGGTCATTTTCCCCTAATTGAATGACAAGGATGCCGGGAGGGCTGAACGTGGCGACTTTTTCCCACAGCAATGGCATAAGCTCTTCCCAGCGCATGCCTTTTCTCGAGAACCAGGAAACTCGAACACCGTGTGGCAGACCAAGATTAGGCGCAAGGCCGCGGCTGACTGCCCATACGCGGGCCCAATGGACTATACTGTGGCCGCAAATCCACACGCTTTTCCTGATCACAGCTGAGGATAAAAGGACAGAAAAGGGGGTAAGTAGGGGTAATATAGCAGAGCGCATTCTAGCGAATATAACTTTTATAAGCATTGGATTTCCGTTTTGGATTGATGTATCCACACCGTCGTGCTAGCTTCGGACAACTGCAAGTCCTCCGTGAGGAGGCCGCGCGTTGACCTAGTTGCATTAACCTCGGCTACAACTTCACCGACCCTCAAGGCGCCAAAAGGTGGTCACATATGCAGCGGGGGAAAAAAGGCAGGCCTCCAACTTGGTCCAGCAGATTGACCTAAACTTTGTGCATATCTGAGAGCAGCCCGTAAGGAATTGGCTTAGCATATGCTGCGGCTTATGGCCCTCGGCTCTATGGGGTTACAGCTTACCCCAACCTTCAATAGCTCTGTGGATCAGGAAGTCACTGCACGGGTCGGAGGAAAACATGGCTTTACAAAGAAGCTGATGGCGGCTACGTGTATATTTAACGTTTTGGGGGCCCGGCCTAAAGGAGGCTATAACGTATGCCGCAGAGAACACCCGGGCCTCGAACTTGGACCAGCAAATTGACCTAAGTTTCATATGGATTTGGGACAGCAGCTTGTAAGAAATAGGCTTGCGGCCTTTGTTACTTGGAGGCTGCAGTCACCTGCAACCTTCAGTTGCCCTGCGGACCATAAAGTCACAGCACGAATCGGTGGAAAAACATGGGTCTACTAAAGAATGTGATAGTGGCTATGTGTATCCTCAAAGTTTTTGAGGCTCAACCTAGGCCATGAAGGTGTGTTAAGTATTGCAGAACGTTTTCTGTGGAGGGTGTAACATTGGTGGAAAGGGAAGATACTTTGGACCTGAACCCCATGAAATCACACCAGACCTTCTTATATGATCTAAGCGTAGAGGGTGCGACAGATGCTAATACTCCCTTAATCACTTCACGTCTCCAAGGTTCCACAGGTGCTCCGGAATGGGTTCTGGCAGTGGCTGAGCCCTGGGAGCTAATGCTCGGAAGCGAGGCACTGGAGGACGAATGATTGGAGCAGGCGCGACACCCTCTCGGAACGCGATGACTGTTTAGCCAGTAAGTTGACCACTGCCTGGTTATCAGTTCTGAAGCACACCCGGCGATTCTGGAACTCCTCAGTCCAAATGTGAACAGCCACAACTAAGGGGGAAAAAACTCCAGAAAAGTGAGATCCCCTTGCTCCTCTGCTGGCCATTGTTGAGCACACCAGCGTCCCCTAAAGAATAAACTGAAGCCCAAGGACCCAGCGGCATCAGTGAACCTGGAAATCTGAGGACAGGTTGAGGATTTCCTGCCATAAGGAGACTCCATTGTAGCGTTCCAGAAACGTGATCCAGATCTCAAGGTCTGTCTTAACCGATTTTGGGAGTCTTACCCTGTGGTGCGGTTTGTTTGTTTGTTTTTGTTATTTTATTTTATTTTTAAGGTTAGGTATGCACATAGGCCCCAAGACTCATTTTGTATCATGACTTTTAAACTTCTGATTTGTTTCTGAGTCACTTGGTGCTCTCTGTACTGAATCTGAAGGGGGGCTGGCACACAGACTAACTGAATGTGGATGTTCATTATGCACTGTATCATAGTATAGTACAGTGATTATAAAATTATCTGCCTGAGTATACGTTTTCATCATGTGTAAAACTCTTAAGGAATAAACAAATAGTTCTATATTGTGATCAAGTAACTCCTAGAACAAAATTGTAAGTTTTAGCTTCTGAAAACCAGTTGCTTCTAGCCAACATCCTATTGCCCATGTAGCTAAAATTTTTGCACTTTTGATTGTTTGTTGATAACACGATTGTTAGTATGACAAGAGATTGGTGGGATGCTCTCCTACAGATTTCCAAAACTGTTGTACTACAGACACAGCAAGGACATTCCAGACACAGCCAGGACATACCAGAACACTTCTATCTGGTACTGTAAATGTCAGGTTTCAGTTTCGCTCTAGCTAGAAAGAACTGCTACATATGCAACATGTTCTAGAAGATTGCCAAAGGTGAGCTCTTGGCAAAAGCGTTATCCACTTCAGTGAAATGTTATTTCTCACCAAACTAGCAATTTGTTTACTAACTATACATGTTCCCTAATATAGTTAAAGCATTGAAATTATGCGATTTCGACTGTTGGGCTTAAAGGCTTACTAGATTATAGGACTAAGGACTAAATCATTATTGTACTTCTTTGCAATTTTGCCCACAGCTGCCCTGCTCATTGGGAGAACAGGAAATGGATCTGGAACACTTCAAAGCAGTACCATTGCTCCCATGTGTCTTCCTGTTTGGGCTGTCATTTTGTTAAAGCTGTGGTCTTGCTCTTGTAGTTGATGTTTTAAATCCTTTCTAAGGCCTAGCTTTCCAGTGCGATACACCTCTGATGGCTTCTTCTCGACATACGGGCTAACTGCCAGATGCTAATAGCGGCAGCCTCCCCAGAAAGGGCTTAAGCCATTCTGACTCATCATCACCGGCTGATGAGGTGCCTGCTTCTGGAAGCTGGACCCTGGGCTGCCTATTCTGCAAAGAACTAGAAGAACTGGAAGCAACTGGGTTATTGATATGGGCCGGCAGCCTCCACGCAGGCGCCCTGGTGCGGTTCTGAAAGTCAGCGAGCAAGCCTGAGACCTAGTTTGCACAGCCGCCGTTCCTGTCTGAGGGCTTGGGCCTGCACCTGGGTAGTTTAAAGGCTGGCCACTGGTTTGCAAAACAAGGAAGAAAGAAACGCAAGGCAAATAGAACTAAAGAATAGCTAAGAGAAAGCGCTGTTCATAGTCAACAATGAATGATCTGAAGGCATTGAGGAACTGCGAAATGGGTTTGGGTTTTTTATTACGACAGTTGACAGCTGCGGTGTGTGCTGGTACTGCACCCGTGCGCTTCCTCTTGGGCGCCATGAGCTGCTCTGTGCACTAGTAAAATGCGCCTACTATTTATTTCGTCACTAATTATTATTATTATTTTTAAATTTAATTTTCATTTATTTATTTATTTATATTTTAAATATTAATTATTATTATTATTATTATTTTATTTTTATTATTTATAATTATAATTATTTATTATTATTATTAATTATTATTTATTTTTCAATTTTATTTTATTTTATTATTTTATTTTATTATTGTTGTTATTTTTTAATTAGTATTAATATCACCAATCAATTAATAACTTGACTGTAATTAAATGCTAGTATACAATTATTGTGCATCAATAAAGTTCGGAGCACTGTTGATGAATTAATTATTAATCGATAGTATCTCAATTAATAGCCAATGGATTTATAGCTATGAGTAGGAATTACTATTATCAATTGCTCTGCGTAACTGCTGACAAAATGAACAAGCTATATGTCACTTAACTGCACCGCTTGTATTTATTTATATTTATTAAATCACAACCCAGCAAGAGTTCAAGCAGCAGCGCTCAGCTACATATTAGCACCTGGCTCCAAGGAACAATCCCATACACAAAGCAACCCCAACTGCAGTCAGACAGAATTAGAAGATAATTGCCTACAATAAAAGTTGCCCCTTTTAAATGCTCGGCAAATCTAGGCACAAAGCATTGCCAAGTAATCAAACAGAATTGAAAATAACTGCTTACAAGGAGATGCTCAGAAGCTGCAGCCAAATTAAGAGAAAAGGAAATCAATAAGATTCCAGGCCCACACCAGCGGCCCTCTGAAAAGGAGGGGTGAGATTGCTCTTAAGGGGATATCTCTACCAAACAAAGGAAACTTTGCCAAACAAAGAAAAGTAAATCTTTGCCCACAAGGTCGGCTCAATACCAGTTGATTGAAATAAGGGTGCTTAAACAGACAAAAGACTGCAATTGGTCAAACTGCTGGTTAGTTAAACTGACAATGCAACTAGAGCTGCTGAACCGCCAGGTGCTTAAAGACAATGCCTCACAAACTGCCGGTCACTCAGAGAGCAATCAAGCTCTCCAACCCAGCAGTTGAGAAACCTGTCTGGTAACTGTGATGCCTCAGGCAAGAAGCAATGGGAACTCCAAAGACCAATGTATCTCCTGAAAGGGTGGGGGGGTGGAGGGAGGGAGGACGGGTGGGGGGGAGGAGAAGGAAAGCGGGGGGGGAGTTGGGAGGGAGGAGGGGTGGGGGGAGTAAAATGAACATGCCGGGCAAGGAAGTTTTTGAAGAAAAGGAAAATAGCTGTCCTTTACAGTGAGCCAAAATGAAGTGGAAATATAAACCGTGGGTTAACCTGGACGTTTCAGTAAGGTACTATAAGCCAAAACCTTTTTTTTTGTTGTTGTTTAGGGAGCCTGTACTGGCAAGTGAAGCCAATGACAAGAACCAGACAAAGGCACACCTTCAAAGGTTCTAAACGTATAAACGTGCAGTGCTGAGGAATGGTTCCCTGATCAGAAACCCTGAATTGTCCACCCCAAGCCCTGCCTTATTTCTTCCCCCAAACATCAAGCGAAGGGGGGGGGGGTTGGCTTAGAGAAACCAAGAGGGGTGAGGTTTAAGCGCACAGTCTATTCCAAGCCCCGGCAGCCTTTAAAATTTTTCAGGGGTCTCCCGATTTAAGTGGTACCAATGGAAGGGATTGCAGGGTAAATCAAACCCATGCTAGAAGAGTAATAAATCAATAAACGGCAGGCACAATAAACAGCAGGCACAAACACACAAATCAATAAACGGCAGGCACAAACACACGCTGCAAGCACACACACACGACTTAAAATTAGAGAGGAACAGGAAAGGGAACCCTGAGGGTCATCTAGTCCAACCCAAGCAATGCAGAAATATTCAGCTGTCCCATACAGTGATCGAACTTGCAACCTTGGCATTAATAGCACCATGCTCTAACCAACTGAGCTATCCAGGCTCCCAAGGACAATGGAGGGGGAAAACGCAGCAGCACCCTGGCCAACAAATTAAAATGTAAGGCAAACCCACTCAGTCACCCAGACCAGCCATGCAATTGGACAGGCAAGGGCAATAGAGGGGAAAACGTACAAGCACCCTGGCCAAAAATTAAATAAAAACGCACAGCCACCAAGGCAGAGGCAGGGGAAGGAAAGCGAGGAGACGAGGGAGAAAGAAAGACAGAGCCACACTCACACTCAGACCTCGCTAGGGGCACGTGCTGGGCAAGGGAACAAGCTGCAGCTTAAGAAAGGTAATTCGCACTCAGACCACACAAACAAATCAAGCACCAGGAGTGGGGGGAAATAGAAGGTTAAATGTAGGTTTTTAAACGGAAAAGAGGACACAGCAAGGCAACCCTGGATGCCTGGGTTTTTAAAAGCAGTAACGCAATGAGTGCACGCAAGCCTCCTAAAGTTAAAAGGCAAGCCAGGAACCAGGCAGCCTCCACACACACAGACCCCCCCGACTCCAAACCTCGTGGCTCTTCCCTGTGATGACTGTGATGACTCACGACGAGACGACGGCG